AATTAACTTATCAAATTCATAACATATTTTGCTTTATAACTTACCTTATGCGCTAAACAGGCTGATATGCTTGTCAAGAAGGTCATTAAGTAAACCGGAAGTTGTCGGATTCATCTGTACAGTACAGTATAGAGAGACATAGATTATCTACATCTCTGGCTATTTCTATTTCAATATTCACTTTGCAATTATAAACTTCAAAATGTATTCAATAAAAATTGTCTTTTTTCAAAAATTTCTGGAATATCATACAAAAATATGATGATAAGGTACGGATAAGTAAGTTGTATATTGCGAGCCGTCAATCGCTTATCTCAATTCATAGAACTACTATGAACCAATTACTATCTCCATTTATAGAATTACTCGACGTTTCAAATTACATCCGCTACATTTCTAATACCGTAATTCAAGCTCAATTACACATGATTTTAAAAGAATAAATTTCTTATCTCCTCTTCTATCCGCAATAAATCAAAGTTTTCACAAATACAGAGCACTTTCTTTTCACTCGCGGCGGTTATGCGTCGGTCATGGTCGGATGATCACTATGAATTCAACTTCCTTGAAAAATGTAGGAATACAATATAGCAAATATAGTAGAGATGAATTGTCACTACAGTGGGCGTTACCCTGTATGGTTGGAAATTTCGGGTTTGTGAGTACACTAGTTGGGACTACGTCCCAAATAAAAACCGATTCCATCACAAGTTATAATATGAGAACGGCAACTGTCATATCTAGAAACTTTTTCAGTTATTTTTGTGCGCATTTAACTCGCTCTTGTTTCTGACCAGATGTACCATCTGGCATATATTCGATTTACCGAGTGATTCCTAAAAATTCAAAAATATGACATAGGGTACACATGCTTTATGTTAACTTAAATTACTTACAAAACAGTAAAAGCTTCAATAGAATCAGTGACAAGAGACTTTTAGTTCCATTTCGAAAGTATAGTAGGTTCGAATTTTAATGAAACTTTAAGTTTTCTCTTTTTTACTTTATCTTCAGTCTATGTTTTTGTGCATTGAATTATATACGGCATTTCATACTGAAATTATGACAAATTACATATGCATTCATATATCAAATTGATGAAATTGATAAAACTATCACATGTAAATAATCAAAAAAAAATTTAACACTAATGCTGCATCTAATAATAATTATAAAAATAATGATAATAAACATCTTAGACTGACAAAACAGTTTATCGAGGCAATGAACTTGCACTTCCGGAATTGCAATTCCCTGTACTTATCACCAGACCATCGGGTCGTAATTATGGAGAACTTTTATTACTTACATTGATAAATTAATAGGTAAACTGAAACGCATAACGGAACCTAACAATACACTTCCCGGTGATTAATCAGTCTCTGGTCAATAATGGCAAACAATAAATTTTGCATTACATATTGACCACCCTCGTAACATTAAAATCAATCAGATCGAAGGTTTGGGAATTGAGTACCGCTCAAGCCGGTGCTAGGGGGCGTGAGGGATGTTGCACTTATTCATTATCCCTCATGTACAGACTCAATCAAACCGAGTCTGCAATTCTTATGTAATTTTGTTGTGATTGGTGCTTCCGAGGGATCACTTTGTTTCCAGAATTTTGGATATACTTTCTATCACTATCACAATCACAAGATTCATAACTGTAACATCAATAGTCTTGAGATTATTGTTATCGATTTTAAACGTAACTTTAATATTGATCTGTTTTAGCTTACAATTTTCATTACATTAACGTTTATTAGTATTTTATTTGGTCAAGCACTTTACTATAATATAAATTCATTTTCGATTATAACTAATATAAAAAAAAACTATAACTGCTTGTGCATAATTCTTACCTTGAACTGTTGTGTTGATATATCTTTAAATACTTGCACGTTTGCATAATTTGACATCTGAATTTTATACATTTATTATCAACAGGGCATTGTTTGTTTTGAGTGAATTTGATACATATATTACTGAAAAGTGATGACATTCAAATATTGACAAAAAACTAATCCACGCATTTTCTTTAAACCTTATTTTTTTTTTGTAAAAACTGTAATCTGGATTCCTTACTCAAACTCACCCTGTATATCCAGAAACGCCAGAATTTTTCAAGTTCACAGTTTAGGGAAACATTTTTATAAATTAAGTAGGTGGGTAAAAGGTGAAAAAGACTATAAACAGGTTGAATATATTTTGGTTACTTACGTAATGTAAATGTATATGGAGAGCTACTAGAGATGTGTTTGTGTCCGGTTTTATTTATCCATGTTGTGAAATTCTTCGTGTGTTCTATAATGAGTGAGAACAATGAAAATTTCTATAATTTAACAACACCCATTTTCATTACACCATCTCAATAGGTATTGAGAAATTGCTACCACGTTGTTTCCTTGAGTTAGAAATTTTTCACGCATTGCTTCGTACCCACTTGAACAAAGACATATATTACGAAGCTTATAGCTGTGTGGTTCGATACTGTTTCTTTATTTTCTAGTCAATCAAACTAAAATAAATTCAGTATAAAATGAAGTTTCCCCATTAAAATATATTTGAAAAGTGCTTATACTCGCCAATTAATGGCGTTAAACCTGCGTAATAATTCAGTACCATATAATAAAAAAATCGCATTTTCTGCGTTACCGCGAAGCACTATTAACGTACATTTGCGAGACCTAATAAAAACGGCTTGAATCACATTTTATCAGAGTATTTTCAGTTTTCTATGCCACCAGAAGGTTGTACTTATTAGAGTCGACCAAAAGTACGCTCAAAACGGGGATCAAGCCATCATTTTCGTACAGTTTACGTACAGTTTTTTTTATATTCAAATTTGAACGTTTAAATTTCGTTTATATTTATCTACCTCTTTTTATTTGATTTTGTGACTTAATTTGAAATACAAAATACACGATTATGGTTTTCTATGGCAATATATTTGAAATGCACTATACTTTGTTATGATAAGGTATATGAGGATTTCATAAAGAGGTTCCTGACTTATCATTCCTTTGTTCATATAGACTGCGTAGAGTGGTAGAGGTAGTGGCAGTGGTGGTGGTGGTGGTATAAATAGAAGTAGTCGTCGTCTTCGTAGTAGTCGAAGTGGTCGTCGTAGTAGTCGCCATAATCGTCGCCGTCGCCGTAGAGTAGTAGCGGCGGTAGCGGCAGTAGTGGCAGTAGCGGTAGTAGTGGCAGTAGTGGTAGTAGTGGCAGTAGTGGCGGTGGTGGTGGTGTTGTTGGTGGTGGTAGTAGTGGTGGTAGTAGTAGTAGTGGTAGTAGTGGAAGTGGTAGAAGTAGTAGTAGTGGTAGTAGTAGAAATAGAAGTGGTGGTATTAGTGGTAGTAGTATTAGTAGTAATAGTGGTAGAAGTAGTAGCGGCGGTGGCGGTAGTGATAGCAGCAGTAGTACTATTAAGAGGAGTGTATCAGTTGTACTTAGTATTTGAAATAGTGAATGTAGCAGTAGCAGTAGCAGCAGTATCAGTATCAGTTTTAGGATTAAGCGGTAGCAATAAAAAAAGCAGCAGTAACAGCGGTTGAGTCGACTCTGCTATTTTCAACTTAACATTTTCCCTCATATAAGCGTGTTTCGACACCTTTCCCCCCCCCCCCTTTGAGGCCTCAAACAGTGAACAAAATGCCCTATTTAGGCCCCCAACACTGGTTTTCGTTTGGGAAATGTTGTTAGAAAGTGACCACTTTTTCGGCGCCGTCCCCATTCCAAATGTTACATCAGGGCGTTGCCAGAAGGGGGATGTGCCCCCTTCTGTTTGGGGGATTTGAAGGGGCGGAGTCAAGAAAATCTTGGACATCTGACAGGCTAAACATGGCTTCAGGTCGATCTTAGGGTAACTAGTAACCGACGCTGAAAAGCCTTTTACTCTATCTCAACTCATTGAGAAGTTGCAGCACTTTGAAATCAGTTTTGATGGAAAAAAAACAATGCAAAATAGTGATTTTTGGCAATTTTGAGACGTCCCCCCGTTGTCATGGTCACAGGAAATTTACGATTGAGCATGCTGTTACAGAGGCTATATTGTAGTAAACATTTGTGCCAAGTTTCATCAGTTTTGAAGCACTTTTCATAGTTTCATAGCAGTTTGAACTTGTTACAGTAGGCTTTTCAATGAAAGCGGCCATTTTTCGCAATATGCTCATGGGGTAAAAGGTTAATTAAAAAAATAAAAAATGTCAAAAAACAACAATTTTTCACCAAAATTCAGTGTTAGGGCACGTGTTAACATGGAAAATCTTGTTTTTGGGTAATTCCAAGGTTTTTCATCATTTTCTGTTAATAAACTTGTTCATATCTCTTGAGTGATCTTTTGATTTTTATCCATAATTATTATATGGCAGAATTTATTTAATTAGTCCTACAATTAATATTAAGTTGGAATATTCTTCTGGTCCTTTTTTATATCTGGCATACAATGAAATTGACCCTTTCTTCTTTTTATAACCACGTTTTGTTTAGTTTAATGTATGAATTATGTTCTTAACTAACAAAACCAAGAGGAGAGATACAATCTAATTTTTGCAGTAGATTGTCCTCATTTAGAGCATGAAAGTTAATTTTAAAAACAAAAGAATTGTTCTTATTTATTTATCAAGTTTGGCAAAGTGTAATTATACTGTATCTTTTTTTTTTAATCTTAAGATATTATATAAAGATAGCATCAGCAACATTTTAATATACCTGTATGGTGTGCTGTGTTTCATGCACTGTATCATTTGTATCTGTAAGTGTAGGTCTTTAACTAAAGGCCAGAACTAAAATAATGCTTTGATTATTTAATTTATCAAAGGATTTGTTTATCAACAGTTATACCTTCATATAAGATATATTTCTATAATTTCTATATTTAGGTGATTCTCATAGGTAACAAAGTTGTTTAGCTTTAACCATGAACTAAGACCAGAGAATGATTTGTTATCCGTAACAGTCGTATTCTACATACTTCCATATGGGAACCATTTTAATTTCAGGAACACCAAGAAAGCCTACAGTAACAGTAAATAAAACACCATCAGTAGGGGAGAGTGTAACATTAACATGTAGCAGTACATCAACAACCATACCCAGTAACCACAGCCTCAGTCTGACATACTCCTGGAGAGTTGACAACACAGACAATCCAGGTGGCGCCAAATATACATACACTCCTAGTAAGGATAAACTTACTGTAAACAACATTGAAAAGGAAGATGCCAATAAACAGTTTACATGTACAGCTACAGAAGATGTCACTGGTGGATATACATCTAGTAGAAGTGATACATCCTCATTTGATGTTTATTGTAAGTATATCTTATGTCACTTATACTATACAACAATCAGAAGTGATACATTCTCATTTGATGTTTATCATATCTTACTTATACTATACAACAAACAAAAGTGATACACTCTCATTCTATGTTTATTGTAAGTATATCTTATGTCACTTATACAATACAACAAACAGAAGTAATACATTCCCATTTGATGTTTATCATATATTACTTATACTATACAACAAACAAAAGTGATACACTCTCATTCTATGTTTATTGTAAGTTTATCTTATGTCAATTATACTAAACAACACAAAGAAGTGATACATTCTTATTTGATGTTTACTGTAAGTTTATCTTATTTCACTTATACTTTACAACACACACAAGTGATGCAATTCTCATTTGATGTTTATTGTATGTTTATCTTATGTCAATTATACTATACAACACAAAGAAGTGATACATTCTAATTTGATGTTACTGTAAGTTTATCTTATGTCACTTATACTTAACAACAATTAGAAATGATACATTCTCATTTGATGTTTATTGTAATTTTATCTGATGTCACTTATACTTATAAATAACAACAATCATAAATGGTACATTCTCATTTAATGTTTATTTTAAGCTTATCCTATGTCAATTATACTATACAACACAAAGAAGTGATACCTTCTTATTTGATGTTTACTGTAAGTTTATCTTATTTCACTTATACTATACAACAAACAAAAGTGATTCATTCTCATTTAATGTAAGCAAAGTGATATATTTTCATTTGATGGTTATTGTTTGTTTATCTTATGTCACTTATACTGTACAACACACAAAGTTGATACATTCTCATTTGATGTTGATTGTAAGTATATCTTATTTCACTTATACTTTACAACAAACAGAAGTGACACATGCTCATTTGATGTTTACTGCAAGTTTATCTTATTTCACTTATACTGTGCAACACACAAAGTTGATACATTCTCATTTGATGTTGAGTGTATGTATATCTTATTTCACTTATACTTTACAACAAACAGAAGTGATGCATGCTCATTTGATGTTGATTGTAAGTATATCTTATTTCACTTATACTATACAATAAACAAGGGCGATACATTCTCATTTGATGTTGATTGTAAGTAAACATTTTGCGATGAAATATCTATTCATACTTGTAAATGTTTCTTTATTTTTGTAACACTTTTGTAAAGTTACCGAAAATTCTTATGTACATGCTGTTTTTAAGCTAGCCCATTTTCTCAACAAATGACTTAAAATCATCAAAGAATATTCAGTTTCATGACTGAAACTGGACAAGGGAACACACACTGTCATGGAATTCTGTCAGATTCTATACCATTTAACGTCTATATATGTGCGCATTGTCGGACCGAATATGGCACACGTGTGACATATTCGGCTCGAATTTGTCAGACGTGTGACACATTCGGTCGAATATGATACACTCTTCAGCCAAAAATGGAACATCAAATGTACCATATATCTCTGTAAACAAGTACATATATTCGTCTTTCACTAAGATATATATTATTAAATATGTGTTTTGTCTTTTTGTATAAGTAACAATTATTTTATCATTTTCTTGCATCTTTTAAATGTCAACATAACACCATTTTCATCTGAAATCATTCGACTTTTTATAAAGTTTCGCACAATTTATTACATTTTCTGTGTATGTTAATTATTACTCTTTTAATATTTCCCCTACCTTTTGATATAAAAGGTTACTTTTTGTTAATTCATAATTACATTAAGACGTTTTTAGTATACAAAAAGAAAAAATAAAGGAAGAAGAAGAAGAAAAAAGTATATTGACAAAAGAAAAAATGGTTTTCCATATTGTAACTTATATTGTCAGCTATTTCGTAAGCGTTTCAGTGCCGCCCAATTCGTTTAAACATATTTATTTATGTTCGATTGCGAAACACGTTCTTTCAACTTATATTAATCACATTAGACTCTGCTTCCTGACACTGACCAGTACTGGTATCAAATGAGAAAACACAGTCGTCACCCGAGAATAGTTCTGGGATTGAGGCCGCCATATAAATTTGACGTACATAAATAGCTCATTCATTTAAAATGTTTGTCAAAACCTGAAACTTACACCATAGCATGAATAAAGTGTTTCATTTACAAATATTTTTGTTTTATAAAATTCCGCTTCATACCTCTTCACAATCCAAGATGGTGTCCAATATGGCCGATTTTATGCAAAACTGTTATTTCATTTTTATAGTATAATTTGTAGCACAACTTATGTTTATGTCGATAAAAAAAAGTTTTTAAACATATCAGAAATAATTAATTTATATGTAAATCATAATTAAAGTAAATTTGTTTAAGTTTGTGTCTAAAATATCTTTTTAAATTATCAAGAAAAAATCTCAATTTTTGCATATTTCTGTAAATTGGTTTTCTAAAACTATATACTGTATTATACACAATTAATTTTTTTACTTTATTTCTTATTTGACATTCAATTAATAATAGGGGTCTGTTGTAAAAATGTTAAAAATACATACAACCTGTTGCTTTTATATTTTGTCAAAGTTGGTGGGGTAAATATTTCCGATCATTATAAAACAAAAACAACAACAAATACACTGGTAAGTTAATTTTATTTCTTTTCTGTGAATTCTTATGCAAACGTTCCCTATTAAAAAGTATACTTTATTGGATAGGGCTATTTTCGTCATTGGGTTAGCTAAGTATCAATAAATGCACATACAATCATGTGTATACATTCAGTTATTAAATTTGGCTGTGTGATATTTCTTGTTTCAATATCTATGAACTTATTTATAAATTATGAATTGTAAATATATTTAAGAAGACAATAAATCAATATAAATCCACTAAACGTACATGTACATGGATGTAATGTGTAAAGGTAGTCCTTTAACGCATATTATTTACTCCTTGAAACTATGAAAAAGGCTTTCAAGTTAACCTAATGAGATAATGATTTTTGAATTCAATACCGGTATCTTAAAAGACTAAACATAAGGCTACTGTCATATCATCTCAACTATATATGGTGAAACAGACATGTCAATGATATCGCCTGAACTTCTTACAAATTGTGATGAGATAAACTATGAAATAACTGTAATTCATAAATCATTATCTTTTTTATTTCAATAAGAGGCCAATGATGACCCTAGATCACGGAGAAAGGTCACAATTCTTTATAAAGGGAACTTATAAGATATTGGGTGTATCAATTTTGTCATAACATATATGTTTTGTGAACTATATGCATTTGGGTGCTTCGGGAGCTCAATATTCAGTTTCTCAAAATTGTTTCACATGAGGGGACTTAATATATAAAGTATATTCCTATATGAGTCCATATAAACTTCTGGTGTATGAGACAATTTTGACCATTTTGGTCATGATTTATCAAATATTTGTAGAAGATCACAAGGTCATGATGATACATTATTTATGTCTATGCTCCGGGTACTGTATTTTTTAGAGAAAACAGATTTATTGCATAAGTCTGTGTAAATTAAGTGGCCCATTTCTAAGCCATTTTAGACTGAGCATCATACAAGTTTATGCAATTTATATCACGCTACATCCCAAATATCCTAGTCCTAGTCACTGTAGTTAATATTAACACCAGTTTTAATATGCTTTCCTATACAAGTCTTTAAAGCATGGTGTCTCTATGAGCAGGATTAGTTCAATATGTTAAAGACAAAAGATGATGGTACGGGCTTAGTATCTATGCATTCTGCTTTTTGAGAAGATTTTTTTAATCATTTTTACAATGTTAAATATATGTACACTAAGTGACGCAAAGAGCGTTTTATGTAACATTTAAAGAGGTCTACTCTATTTTGCATTGTTAAACCGGTATGTTGAATATCTAAACACAAGGCATTTATTTCTCCCATTTTCTTAACCCCTTTCAATCCTGATCTCTTTAATTCCCGTTTGGGCCAGTTGTAGTTTATATTATTTCATACATTACATGGTAATGTCGGGGGATGCGTCTTGTAAACGTTGCATTTTCCTTGTTGATCTTTATTCTTGTTTTTTACATGTAATTCTCTAAGTCTTTCAAAACTTTGTGCCCCTCGTGACAGGCCGTTAAATCTTGTTCATGCAGTCTAAATATCTTTCTCTGGGATGTTATTTATGTTTTCAAAGACTTAAAACTGTCTTGTAAATCTTCTCCGAAACTACAGTGACAAGAGCAGAAAAGATATCATGTAACACCACCATGTGATACTCTATAAAAAGTATGAATTATTGGGTCAAAATCGCTTACTTCATTTGGACTCATATAGGAAAAAAGAAATATCGAACGACACATATGCACCACTTTCTAGCCATTGACTCACATTATTGGTTATTTTGCTAAAGAAACTTGCCATAAATGGGTACATGGAAGTGTTCAGTTATGGAAAATAGAAAGACAATGAAGACTTTGTGATAGTTTTCAAAATAATGAGCGGCAACCATTCTGACATTTAAGGCCCCAGTGATCTTAACCTTTGAACAAGTGACCAAAAATCAATAGGGATCATCTAATAGTCATGACCAATTAATATCGGAAATATAAAGCCATTGTGAGAATAGCTTTTAAGATAATGAGCATAAACCATACTACCATTCAAAGACCCTGTGACCATGACCTATGAACTAGTGGCCCGAAAGCAACAGGTGTCATCTACTAGTTATGACCAATCACTATGTGAAATATGAAGATTTTGTGATAATCAGCTTTTAAGATAGTGAGCTAAAATCACACTAACATTCAAGGACCCTGTGACCTTGACCTTAATCCTGGTGACTCCAAAATCAATAGGGGTTATTTAGAAGTAATGACCAATCTATATGTGAAATACATTGTATAAAGACTTTATAATAAAAAGTAACCAAGATAACCAGCAGAAATCATGCTACCATTTAAGGCCCCTGTGAACTTGACCTTTGACCTCGTGACCTCAAATTGTTAGGCGTCATCTACTAGATGTGGCCAATCACTATGTGAAATATCAAGACTTTGTGATAAATAGTTTTCAAGATAACCAGCGGAAACCTTTGACCTTTGACCTAGTGACTCCAAAATCAAAATGTCATCTACAAGTTGAAGACTTTGTGATAAATAGTTTTCAAGATAATCAGCTGAAATCATATGGTCTACCGACAGACCGACATTTGCAAAACAATATACCCTCTCTTTTTAGAAGGCGGCATAAAAACTATGAGTCTTCTTGTGTGATGCAGCTCTGAGTACCAAGATATTGGGGATGTTTCTCCTCATAACTATTTGTGGTGAAAAAATTGATACACCAAACATGATCGTATCTTACTTATGTATCGAAGAATAATGGCAATTTCTTGCAGTGGATCTTCGGTTAGTGATCTAGGGTTGTTTCATGGGGATAATGAAATTTGAATAATCATTGACAGACAGTTAGTTTGTATTTCAAATTATCAACAAATTTATGTGGGTCCAGCGATACTTTTGATTACCTATTTCACTACACATAAATGATGTGATGTATAAGTCGCCTTAATGGGACTCCACTGAGGTTTTAAAGCCTAAACTCGTAACATTTGAATTTCTTACATAAATGAGCTGGGGCACTTTAAACAGAAATATATGCAAAGATAGTTAAGAAATATACTTTGAAATAAACTGCAATTGTATTTTTATGATTTTTGATCCTGATTGTGGTGAAAAGTGTTTAAACGCTTTTCATTTTGGTCATTTTTTTACAATTTTATTAATTATCTGGAAAACGAAATGCGCAAATGATCTGAAATTTTGCTTAAAGATTAGTGGTCTAAACCTACATCAAATTGTGCATTTATCTGGAAAAAATATTTTCAGTCGCATTATGTCAAAAAACCTCAGTGGAGTCCCTTTTATATTAATTAGTATCTTTTGAAAATACCATGTCTAGATATTTTATTCAATGAACAGTGCTAGTTTAATTAAACTATATTAAAATGATATGAAATGAATCATACTGTTACAAGCCTTCTGTAAGACTATGATAACTGATTCAAAATTCATTTGTCTCATTATCTTGGCTTTAGAAGCGATTTTTATCTTTTCATAACGAAATTGAACAGGAAGTTATTATATTCGCAAATAGAACATTTAACGCATTTTTGTTGATGTACTCAGTCTACTATCGTTAAAATTAACTCATTCTATTAAGAATATTTAAATCAGTTATGCAAACGAACTTTACAACTAAATATGTTAACATAAATGTATGTGCTATTCCTGATATTTGTACCCTCTAGACCTGAAGGAAGACACAAATAGCTTAAAAAGTTTAACAAAAAGCAAAGAATTGATCAACTTACACTTTTTTTTATTCTTTTTCCTTTTTTTTTTTTGGTTAATTTATCAGATAAATATACCCCACCCACAAAAAATAAAACATGCATATTTTATGTCTTTGTTACATTTTTACAATAAACATAGTATTAATTGAATATCAAATACACTATAAGTATTATTTTAGTTTTGTACATAGACCTATTGGAACACTATTTTAGAGAAATATGCAAATATTCCCCCTTTTTCTTTACTATTTTTCAAGATATTTTTGGATATTTTTTTTAAAAGCTTGACTTATATGGTGGTTTACATATCATTTGATTGTTGCTGGTATATCTAAACATTTTTTTATCAAAATATGCATAATTTGTGCAACATGTTATACTACAAAACTACAAAAGAGATATATCAGTTTTGCATAAAATTGGCGGCCATATTGGACGCCATCTTGAATTTCGAAGAGATATATTTAAGCGGATTTTTTTTTAACATTTGAATTTTTGTAAAGGAGAAACATGCTTTAGTGTAAGTTTAAGATCTGTACAAACTATTTTACTGATCGAGCTATTATGTACGTCAAATTTATATGGCGGCCATTTTGAAAATGGCGGCCTTTTTTGATGAGCAAAACTATTTTTGGGCCCACTTCACTTTTTGAATCTGCATCATGTAAAGATGATTTCCTGAAATGTTTATGCTTGTATCACTAGTTGCACTATTTTGACAGCAGAGACCTTATTTCCCGCCCCACTATTTAGGCATAACATAACGTTTAAGGAGCAAGTTGTAAATGTGGAGTGAACAGAACGCCATTCATACTATCTCCTCTCGTGCGCACCACTGTAAAATTATACATCTGGTTTGTAGCGTAAAGAAAATGATTTATCAAAATTTTCAAACATTGTTTTATCATGATTAAAACAGTTTTGTTTCGGCTTATATCTAAGTCATGGCGTGAAATGATTATTACATTTAGTGGTACAACGTCATTTGTAAAGAACATATCAAAATCACGCTTTGTGCGCGTAAGATAAACTTATAAGTTTCATAACCATGTCTATCACACTTTGTGCGCGTAAGATAAACTTACCAGTTACATGACCATGTCCCTAGTTTAAATACTGTTGATGCTAAACGTGACACAAGTCGACTGTTTCCTGTTTAACTAAATCAAGGACAATAACTCTGGCATGACTGTCCGAATTGACAAGCGAAATGCCAGATGCACAATAACATAATTCTGGCAAATATTCATGTAAAATTTAAGACCCCTAACTTTATAATTAATTGGGCAACACTAAAGATGCTGGACGGACAGATGCACGTACTCAGACACATGCACAGACAAGAAAACATTAAAATCTCCGTCCACTCATAGTGGGGGTATGAAAGGTCGGTATTTTATTATCAAGTCAATAAATGAAAATGTCCAAAATATTTAGCACATGTTTTCGACAAAGCCAGTCACTGTGTATTGACACAGTGTCATAGTACTGGTAAAATGATAAGCAAGGCGCCGTAGACTTAAACCAAATATATTACTGATTAACGATGACAATGTATCATTTATGAAAATGATGTTGTTGATGATGATGATGATGATGATGATGATGATGGTATACTATTAACTATGATGAAGGTAGGCTGAAACGGCGATGATATTGTTAGTTTACTGTGTAAAATGTGTAACATATACGGCCATGCATTTACTCCCAATTGCACAAACGTTTATGGCAAATAAACAGCTCTTATTAATTCGGCCAAATATGTTCAAGTTAAACACGTGTGACAGATACGTTTCGTGACATGTACGGGCCGCCAGTTTAACAATCTCTATAAAGAAGCAAAGAGGGACTAATGTTTAGAACGCAAATATTGCTAGTCACTGTTGAAAAAACGAAATGATTTCAAGAGCGTTTTTCTGTTACTACGAACTTATCCATTCAGTAAGACCAAATTTAAATAAAAAGAAGTCAAATCAGCTTCATGAAACAAGAAGAAATGTCATAGTGAAACCCCCACCCCCACCCCCCACCCAAAAAAAAAACAAACAAAAAAACTAAAAACAAAACAAAACATAAAAAGAAATCAACAAAACACAACAAAACAAAAAAAAACAACAACAAACAACAACAATAAAGAAATAATAAACGTCTGTACAATTTAAATTTTTTATTTAAAACAAATAAAATTGTTATAGTTTCAGAAACATTTATGCCATTCGACAATAAGGTATCAAATCATGTCGGATACACTTTTAATGAGAATGGTTTACATCAATATTTTTTCATAACAAGGGGATAAGGTTATGTATAGGTTAGTGTTTAATAATATGTATTAACAAAAATAATTGGTCAAGCCTGCCGCATTTCTCTAAATCACTGATAGCTCCGCCCTTTCGCTCTACAAGATGTCTACACCTTGTCAAGTTTCTATAACATTAGCTAAATAAATTGCCCTTTCAACATATTATCAGGCACATTTTTACTGAAATGTCACAGAATTTATACCTTTATCTACAGTAATTACATGTAGGTAAAAACAATGGAGTTAATGAAATGTGTACATCCTTTTAAAATAAATGGAAAATGTGAGAAAAATACATTAGAGATTATTAATTATTTGTAAAACAGTTTACAGGTGGAGGGGGTCAGTTTACAATGAGTTTTCCAGCCAAAAATGTAATCATTGTATTCTTAATATCATTGGATTGTTAATGCAGTTTATTCCTATCAAGTGAAAGAAAATAATTTTTTGGTTACTTTTTCTAGAAAATATAAAGTTAAAACAGTCAGCAATTTATAACAGACATTTTTCTTAGAGTTAAAAGGATATAAAAAAAGTTACTTTGTAATCATTTGTCTCTGCGTACCCCACATGTATTATCTATGTAATAAATCATTTGATTGTATCCTCACATTTAGAAAGCCTAATTATTTTTACGTTGGCATTGTTTTGCTAACCTTTATATTTTCCAATTCAGAGTGCAAACCACAGCTCTAACTCCTCCCTAATATAATGCATTACTGAAATTTGTTAGACTGGTTAGACGACAGATTAAGTAAATTTTATTTAGTTAGTACACATTAACCAAAGTTAGACTTAGCAGAAATTTGAAAAATACTACAATGTGATTGGACAAAAAATAATGTTGATCATTAATCAAGGTTGTGTACATAATAAATAAGAGAAGAACGGGAATATATATATATATACTTCATACTGACGACCTCCCCATGAGGTTTTACGATGTATTTTGATAAAAAAGGCATAATATATATTACATTCATCAGCCTGTATAGAAATAGAATATGCAAAATGATGATTTGTACACTTTCGAATTAAGGATTTTATTAATTTATTCTAAAGCGCCTTAAACATGACATATATATTTGACATTAAAGTCATACCATTTATTAAAGTTAATTTGATCTGAACAAGTTGCTATTTATAAAAATCAGATACAGTCTCTAGAATCCTTACAAATGTTATTTGTGTGATTTGTTGCCATTGTAATCAATTATTATAAATATAACAAATACTGCAAAAGCTTATATTAATAGCTAATTACTAATGTTAAAAAAATGTGTAAATACATTGTAATAATTATATCTTCAGATGGTCCAGATAATGTTGCGTTTAGTCCAAGTGATACAAGCTATGAGAAAGATGAAAATGAAAGTCTTAATCAAGTGACTTGTTCAGCATCATGTTATCCTACATGCAGTTTTACGTGGACCAAAACAGAAACAGGAAGAATTGTTAGTAACTCAGCTTTATTAAACCTTGGGAGGCTTCAGAGTTCAGATGCTGGAACATACAGATGTACTGCAACAAGGACCGGTGGTGAACCACAAAGCAAAGATTTAACTGTGAATGTTATTTGTAAGTATTGATATGCGTAGCTAAAATGTTAATTATGTTATGTCGATTGTCTTTAGCTTATTGCTGCATCATGATTTTATTATGTTTTACAGATGAAATAACTAAAACAATGAAATAATGTGTATTCGAATAGAGCTAAACGTTCGGTAAAAACATATTAAATAACATAACTATTGAGAAGTTAATAAAATAACTATTACAATGTTTGTGTCGACTAGTGGTATGTATTAGACTTGATTGGCTATAATGTGCTTCGTCTATGTGAATACTGAAACTTTTTGGACTAATACCTGATTTTATTAATAGACTGGTTGCAAAAATTAATCCTTTTTTTTGATTGGGTTTTACGTCACATCGACACATTATAGGTCATATCGCGACGTTCCAGCTTTACTAGTTGAGGAAGACCTCAGGTGCCCTTCCGTGCATTATTTCAATATTCATGGCATTGTCTACTAACTTC